TAAGTGTTGCAACAAATTAATGAATATCATCAATTGTTGCAACATAGTTGCAACATATGTTATAACATTATATGTTGTAACATATTAATTATGGTTACCATCTTTAGTATAAATGATTTTTCCGAAATCGGCATATATAACCTGCTGGGAGGTCTATGATGACTTGTTGTAAATATTGCGCTTGATAAATTAATAAGTATACAGTATGTTAGAAAGGTATATGGACTATATTATAAAAAAATGTTTCTTACCTGAATGTAGAAATCTAACAATTTCTAAATGCTGGGATTTTACGAAATCCATTCCAAGCTTGTCGACCTTCTGTTTTATCATGTCTTTCATTACCTTTGGCATTTTTAGCCTACCATTTGATAAGTATTTCGTTCTACTTTTTCCCGTAAAAAGTTTTCCCTCTTTACTAATAGCATATTCTTTGATCGATGCAAGCTCTCGCAAAATTCCATCACACTTCCTGCCAATTTTAGACCTTATTTCTGCACTTTTTCTCACTTTATTTTTTCGTTCTGATGATACACGTGAGCATCCTTTCCCCTAAAAAATTGATCACAACGTAATTATACTGATAAGTGAAAATTCAAAAAAATACATTAAATAACTTACTGGATAAACTCAACTATGTATAAATCAATAAGGCATGAGTCAATGATTATATTCCATATATTAGAGTTGAATCACCCTTCCAAGTGTGCTCGAGTAAAATCTCCAGATCTCAGTTCATATCTAGGTAGGCTGACAATGGAAGATAGATAAATACAAATCACAATTATCATTAAGAATATGATTTATTACTCACAGGTTAGCGAAAACTTGATAGACATATTGATAATCAAAGTGATTTTTAGGATCATATAGAGTTATGTCTATCCTTGCATTAATTTTATCCCACATCTTTGAAATATCAGTCTATATAATGGAAAGGATGTTATTACAGTATTGAATACAACATTCTCATTGTATTTGCAAGAAAGATGATACTCACTTCATTAAATGTAACAAGATATTCCATTAGCCTATCCTCTAATTCAGGGTCATCCATAATATTGTATGTCTTAATATATTCTTGATCTTTTTTATCGAACAATTTCATTATAGTCTCGTTTTCGATATCAAGAATAAAACTGTTATGATGGACTTGTAAAAATATTAGATTAGCAGATCATAGCTTATGACAATAGATACTTTTAAACTTAACACTACCATTCATAAGAGAGATCCTTTGTGTAATTAAAAATAATATCTTCAACATAACTTCCGGATGGAAGCTTCCATTTCATATCATTGCACATTGCGAGATAGTTTTTTTGAAAATCTTGAAATTGACGATTATCTACACCACCATTGCTGACTTCTGATTCTAACTGTAGTAACACATCATTGCTCTTATTTTCATCATTTTCATTGTCACTTGTATTTTCAACATTATCTGAATAATTGTTATCAATTTCTGGAGAAACATTTGGGGACGAAGCATCATTGATCACTACAAAACCAATCAGAATAAGAGAAAAAGCACTAGCAATCGACAGAATTTGTATCAGGTTTTAAATTATCTATAATTTCGAATACTCACACGTTTGGCTTGGTTAGATATTTCAGTGTGTCTTTTCACTTCCCTAACATGTACTAACGAAATTGTGGTCTCCATCTTCCGAACGTTCTTATCTATACAGTAATAAAACCGATTCTGTTATTAACCAAAAAATGGTGATGTTAGTAGAGAAATTTACAAATTTACAAGAGGACATTTTCTTGTAATGAACTCAATAAAATGTTTCGTATACTAAATAGCGATGGTTTTTATACCTCCTCAGCTTTGTTTTTTTGCCGTCGAAAAATTTCGATGGCTTTCATGGATATTTTAGACGAACTCTGAAGTTTCCTAATTATTGACTTTGCCTTTTTTGTGATAAGTTTCATGATGTACGAGTTATTACACACGTCTATCGCCTTGTTTATTACTTCTTATTTGACAGGTAATCTTTTTCATCAAATTTTATGTGAGATTCTTCAAGATATTGTAGAGTATGCTCGAGTTCCCAATTCTTGCAGTCCTTGATGCAATTATCGAATGATTTAAAAATAGCGTTTTTGAGAGCAGTATGAGTCATCGTGTCCGTTGTCAAAGGAATGTGGGATGTGAGCTATTAAAAATCTTGATAGGAATTTACTCGTATCGTAGTATTGCGTATGACGTTACGTGTGGTAATGAAGTCACGTGGGTATTCAATCCGACTGTGCATTTATTAGCCGTATTGTAATATTTTTTTTCGGAATGACGAGAACATCTAACAGCAAGACAAACCACATATGATATCATAAAAAGCCAGAGAATAGGACCATATCAAAAAATAATAAATGAATAGAACAAATTAAGGTATTGTTGAAGTAATGCAAACATTGTCGTAGTTGTTAATATGATTGTTAAATGGCTTAACCTTGTAGAGCATTTTTTTTAACCATGTGGAAGAGCAGTGTATCAGCGCTGGTGCACTGTAAGGCCAAGAATCTAAGCAAGTTCTTTCCTTGCCTATGGGTATGCTGTGACATATGCCGGATTTTTGTGCGTCTTCCACAAGATAACATATTCACCTTGTTGAGACATCGCCTTGTCCCTTTGATTAAAGGTGATATTTCCTTGTTAATGCAAGTTTAAATGACAGAGGTGTGCGCGCACTATCTGAATGCTCAGTGACAAGAACGCTTCTTAGTAGTTGTTTTATGGGTGCTTTCAGCATGCCGGTCACTGTAGTGTCACTTTAGTTGAATATGTTATCCTGATCTTAGTGTTCTTTTGTTGCATAAGATAAGTATATTTATAATCTTTGTTTGTGAAAATCTGGTATATTAAAGCAATCTTATATCATTTCAGCAAAGCGATTTCTGAAATATATTTGACGAATTGTCATATTAACGCGATCATTCACATCGGGCTTTTATTTTTATGTATCCGGATGAATAAAATTATAGCCAAATATGATAGTGAATCGCAGTTATTGCACAAAATGTAGTTAAAGTTTCAAGTTTACTTAATAAGACCTAATTCACGAAGATGCTCTGGAATAACTACAGTTGAAACTCGATATAACGAACCCTCCGATCAGGTGATTTTGCATCGTTATATCAAGTATTCGGTAAGACAAATATTCTTGTTATGCTGAACTTACTATGTAAAATTTTTATAATTCAGTTTATCAATTTTTTTTGCAATATATGCTTTATTTATTAACAGAA